ACGTGCGGGATGCCGAGGCTGCCCAAATCGACCGCAGCGGTCGCCGCCTCAAGTACCACCTTGTAAGTGGCCCCCTTTTCCGCCACCGCTTCGGGCCTCAGCGTGATCACCACCGCCGATGATCTTGGGGTGGCGAGAGCCCTGGGTCTGGGAGCCGTCTTAAGGGCCGCCTTGGCGGGGGCCCGTGCCGCTTGGGGGGCGGCAGCTGCCGTTTTGGCCTTTCTGGCCTTGCGGCCGACTACCTGTGACCAGGGCGTTTCCGCCTGGTCAGTCGACGTGGAGGCCGTAGCGTCAGGGGCGGTAGGGACGGCGAGAACGGCGGTGGGCGCCGCAGGAGGGGCAGCAGTCACCTTCCGCGGGGGAGCCTTCCTCTTGGCCTTCTTGCTGGGCCGCTGGCCGGCAGGCGCGTTTCGAGCCAGTGAGGGGCCCGGTGTCGACTCGGGGGCCGCGGCGGAGGGGAGCAACCTCGGGGCGACTGCGGTGACGGCAGGCGTCGCCTCGGGGGCGGGTGCCCCTGTTCTGCCGCCCAGGGGGGGGCGTAGGTACTCCGCAGGGAGGCGTCTTTCGATGTCCCCCAGGCGGGCGTCGATCATATTCCTCATCGAGGAGAAGATATCCCGCCTGAGATCGTCGATGGCCTCCCTCACTCCCGCGTGCATCTCCGCGGAGCTGCACGGCGGTGGGGCCACCTGTGCCTTGGCCTTGGCCATAGCAGCGGAGTAGGCCCCCCTCAGGGCCTTCATCTCCGTTTCCAGAGCAGCGAGCTGCCCCCTCATCCGGCGGTTGTCTTCCGACATCCGCCGCGCCGCCTCTGTCGCCGTCTCTCCACGGTGAAGGAAATTGACGGCTCCTTCCACCTTCCTGACGGCCTCTTTTATGGCTTTGACCACCGTCCCCTTGAGGTTAGAGGACTTGGCGGTCTCCGCCAATATTGCTGCGAGGCCGTCTCGTGCCTCCTGGGCCAGGGTCTCTCGCATGAGGCCCGCCATGCCATCGGGTTCAGCCTCTCCGGCCTGACCCCGGCCCAGGGCCTCCTTGAAGAAGGCCGCGTCCGCATCCTTCTGGAGGGCGTTCCACTCTGACGAGCTAGAGCGCCCCCTCCCTGCCGTTGCCGCACCGGGGAAGGACTTCCCGGGGCCTCTAGGTCTGCCCCTACGGGCCGTGCTAATCTTTGGAGCCCTTTCGGGCTCCATAGATTCGTTCGACGGGGGGGCGGCGCGCTTGGGAGCCCTTGAGGATCCCTTCTCTCCGGCTGACCTGGAGCGCGAAACCACGCGTGAGTTCCCCTCAGAGAGGGTGGCCTCTCCGTCCGAAAGGGCCGAGAGCATCGTCTCACCCTCCGACTCATTGTCGGAGAGAATGCTCACCACCACATTGGAGGCACTCGTGCGATCCATATTTACCGTGTCGTGTGCAAAATCGTTGTCCGTTATTGGTGTGCGTTTGTCGTGTTCACGAGGGTCGACTTCCGGCCGACCCACGAGGCAGTTTTTGCCCCCCCCAGAGTACGAGGGGCTGCCATCCGCCGAAGCGGATGGGCGGGATTCCTCCTTTCGGGGACCCGCCTGGGGACCATTTTTAGAACGTGCCTGTTCCATATTTATGCTTGCTTTGAAAGAGGGTGAGCTCCCCACTGGTGCGCCCTGATGACTGGACACCCACCAGCCATTCATCCCATCGCCGGGCGCTAGAACTTGGGATTGGGGTGATTTTTTATAGAGGTTTTCTTCCTCGCAGCCCTCCTCTCAGTGAGGAGGACCCCCGGTCACACTCCATGTGGGATTACGGGTTGACCGGAGCCGGTTCTGAGACCGAGCACCGCCCACCGTCTCGGTTACGAGTTCGATAGCGCCGGACGGAACCAACGCTATCTTCCTCCCCTCCCGGTGCTGGTTTTGGTCCGCGCCGGCCGAAGCCGGTAGCTCCCATATCTGGGAGCCGTTCCCCTATCCGCCACCTGGGGACGCGTCCGATGGCAGACCAGCAACTGCACACGGATACTTAATAGAAACCTAGCCCGCACACGCTAAGTGAGGCAAGTTAGAGGGTTCCAAACGCGTCCCAGGAGCGCGCGGGCTGTTAGTGCTCAAGGTCATATTGCACCGCGAACAGCTCCAAAATTTTTTGCTAAAAATGACGAAATGTGCGGTAAATGGGTGTAAAAATACAACAGACAAACAAAATAGACACTAACATCGCATTCCACAAGTAAGTAATGCGTTTCAACTCATATTTTTATGTAATTATTCACTAAAACAGAAAAATAATTTCGCGGCAACAAGATACGAAAGTGTTGCAAAGTAACGAATTTTTTTTCTCCCCATTTTGCTATTCTGTATCAAAATAATTATATTACGTAAATTTTAGTGGTGCCTGTAATTTCGATTTATTTGCGCATTTTGAACTAATATTTACTCGAATAAACATTAAATGTTTTCGTTAACTCCTGTAAGTGATTGGGACACTTAATTATTTTATAATACTTTTAACGGCTCTGCGTTCATGCTTTATTGAATAATTATTTATATTAATTTTATTTGAATTGGAGCACATATTGCAACAAATTTACAGTATATATTTGTTTCTACTATAGTGTTGGCACCACCAGTACAACTTTGATAGCTTATTATATGTCTTTCTTTTCGTAACTCAAGCGAAATATTTTATATTAAAATATTTTATTTTCTTAAAAGGGGAGCATTCTTAAGCGATTTTTTAATCTATTTTAACAGTTATTTTCTTTAATGTTTGCTTATGGCATTTTCGGTTTTAGGTTTCGAATATGGCACTTATTTCTAAATCCAAGATGGCGGGCGCGATTTTTCGAATAATGGCAAGTTGGGTATCGTTTTCGAGATGTTTGGGAATGTTCAATACAAATATGGGACTCATTTCTAAATCCAAGATGGCAAACACGACAGTTCAAACAAAAGCAATATTCGTAATGAGCACCCCCAAATACCTCGAAAACGATACCCATATTGCATTTATTTGAAAACTCGTGTCCGCCATCTTGGATTTAGAAATGAGTGCCATATTCG